AAGAATGGGGTGTGGGCAATGGATGCAATTATTGCTGTCAAAGTTAACTCTGATCTTGGCTCTAGGAACTCATGTTTCCTTTCAGGATAGAAATAGCCTGAATATTTGAGACTAGTCTGGGCAACTTTTGGAACAAATATGAACATTTAAAACTTACAAAATATTCTAGCAATAATATTTTTAAAAATATATAATCTACTGATATATACAGCAACATGAATCAATCTCAAAGAGATTCTACTGAATGAAAACTAAAAAGAGCCAAACACAAAAGAATATACATAGTGTGTTCCCCTTAATAAGGAGAACAAAAACAGGCAAAACTAATCAAATGGCAATGAAAGTCACAATAGAGAGGCCCTATGTGACAGATGTGTGAGGAGGAACATGAGTGAATCTGCGGGAGCACAGGAAATATTCTGTTTTGATCTGAAGCTGGTTACATGCTGTGTGCATATGAAAATCTTGAGATCAGTGTGGTTTGTGCATTTCAGTCTATGTTATACTTAAAAATTTTTTAAAAATCATCTCAGCTGTTTGTATTATGGGAACTGACAGTGTGTCTAAAATTTATATGAAAATTCAAAGGGTAAAAATTAACTAAGTCACCCAAATAAGAACAAAGCGGAAGGACTTACTCTACTAACAAAAAGATAAAGTGTTAAATAGTGTGGTATTGGTGAAATAATAAATCAATAGACCAATAAAATAGAACATAGTCTATAAACAGACCTACTCATTAATAATACTGAATTTATAACCAAGATGGAAGTAAAGAGCTCTAAGGAAAGAATACTTTTTAATAAACAGTACTGGGTCAACTGAAGCTCATAAAAAAAAAAAAGAAAAGAAACTTTAACCCCAACTGTATACTTTGTATGTTTTAAAATCAATTTCAGGTAGTTCATAATTTGAAATGTGAAAATTAAGCAATAAAGTTTCCAAAAGATAACTTAGAAGAATATGTTCATGACCTAAGGGTGGAGTAAGTTGTTTTTTTGTGTTTTTAAACAGGACACAAAGAACAACAGCTATAAGGGGAAAAATGGTAAGTGAGACTACATTAAGGAATTTCTTTCATTAAAAGACACTTGTAAGAGTAAAAAGCAAGCTACAGGGGAAAGATGTTTACAAAATATGTAACTGCTAAAGGCCCAATTTAGCATATGTAACAAATTCTTTCAAAACAAATTTTTAAAAAAATAAAGACAATTTAATTGGTTAAAAATAAAGCCAAAAAATTTGAGAAGACTAATTGCAAAAGAGTACATCCAAATGACAGTTAAATTATTGTAAAAACTCAATGTCATTAATCATCAGGAAAAATTCAAATGAAAACCACAATGGATATAATTACCTACCCTCTATCCTCTAAAATGGATAAGACTGTGAAGCCTAAAAATACCAAGTGTTGGAAAGCATGTGGAAGAATTGTCATTCACAGCCGATGGGAGTGAAACAGGTATAACTTCTTTGGAAACCCAGTTTAGCATTAATTATTTAGGCAGAAATATAGGCACCTAATCAAATGACATGTACAAGAATGTTCAAAGCAGCACAATTGCTAGTAGCCTCAAACCGGAAAAAATCTTAATGTCATCAGAATAGAATGACTAAGTAGACTGTAGTGTGGTCGGACAATGATAACTTCACAGCATTGTGCCATAGCTATAAGCAGCAGCATATGCCTAATTTCGAGTGAAAGAAGCTAAAAATGATGGAATACACAATAATTATTTGTGGGAGAAGAAAGAAGGTAATTGGCTGGCCTCCATAGGGCTATCACTTTGTGATAACTCATTGAGTTATAACATCTATCTAAATGCACTGTATTTTTCTGTGTAAATTTTATACTTCACAATCATAACTTTTAAAAAAGCATGAACTATTTCTCAAAAAAAAAAAAAAACTTTGAATGATTTAGAAGAAGATTTGGTGAAATAGGGTTCTATAGGACTTTATTAGATAATATTTGGGTGCAAGCACATGGCTAGAAATTGCTAGCAATCCCACCCCCCAATATTTATATGGAGTGTCAGAGCTTAATGTAAAGGATGCTTATTATCCACCCTGGACTTTCTTCTCTACATTTGTAACCACTATCCCCCAAAACTTTTTCCAGTGTACTTTATCTTACCAATGCTCTCTCTCTAACTGCCACTAATCTCTCAAGTTCACTCTAGAAACAGACATATCAATACAATCTAAACTTGCCCTGACTATACTTAAGTGTCCAGGGGATGAGTATTTTCTCCCATTCACAATGTAGTTTACAATACAGAAATCACAACAGTGCTGTTTTATCCATAAATTAATGAGTACATTTTGAAATGCTTGTTATTTTACAGTTCACACCTCAAATGTATTTGTTGTATTTTCTCAAGTGTAAGAGGCATATGAGGCAGTCATTAAAATCATAGACTTTGGAATTAGACTTACCAGGTCTTGAATTCCAGTTCTCTTATTCATTAAGTAAGCAACCTGTGCAAGCTTGTCTCCTTGTTTTGGAATTTGGGGTAATGTGACAAGTTCACAGAGTTGCTGCGAGGATCGAAGGAGGCAGGAAATGTCAAATCATTAGCATAGTATCTGGCTCAAACTAAGAACACAGTAACTTCATGTTATTATTGTTATGTATCGTTCCTGGAAAGACTTTAAGAATTAAACTAAAATACGAAAAATGTGACAGGTTTTTATTGTTTGTTTGTGATATTAGTGTTTGGAAGTGGGAGGTGTGGGGTTACTGGTTTATGGCCTTTTCAATCAGAAAGCCCAGAATCTCATAGTACATCCAGCTCCACAAAATTAAGACCTCACTGTGCTAAATCATAGCAAGAAGGGTCATAATGTTTATAAGTAGAATAAAACATTAATTTGAATGTATTGAATCATTTTAAAAACTTTTACAGGAGAAAAAGATCTTTGAAGCATACAGTGGAGTTTTTTTGTTTGTTTGTTTTGGTTTGGTTTTTTTTTTTGTTTGTTTTTTAAAATGGGAGGGACCAGGACCCAGGACTGCTACTACCTGAAGTCAACAGAGGTAGCTGCAGTCCTAGTTTAAGAGGTTAGACTTTAAAGTTAGTAAGAAACCTCCCTAAGGTGAAATCTGGGACACAGGTAAAAAAGTTATGATGAAACTCTTCATTTTGGCGCACGAGAGCATGACCTGAATACCTCTCAGGCCACACTCATCCTCCCTGAGGAAAGAATGAAGAGTTTGTTACCATGGAAGGGAAATGTGGACTGCCCTCTGGCAACTACCAAAGAGAACTTGAGGAAAGGAGAAAGTGCAGGAGAGGCCCGCAGAAAACTATTGGTCCCCAAACAAGTATTAGCCCACTCTTGGCTGGGAGTAGGTGGCCAGGGAGGGTGGGGGGTGTCTCACTGTCCCAATTCCACCACCCATTCCCACTTTTTGGTTGGGGGAAGAACTTTATGAAATGACGCTGTTCAAGTGAAGAAATATTAGGTTGTAAGGGCTATTATGCATGTCTGCTTTAGCCTTTATTAGGCCATGAATAAATCATATTTGAATAGAAATGCACATAAGTCTTGAAGTTTAGATATCAAACAGTTGTTGATGTAAAATGTTTTTGTAGCAAATCTATACCATATTTAACCCACTAAAGGTGATAGCAATGGAGATAAACTAACAGAATCTATAACAAAAAATAAGAATCAGCAATTCAAGGCAATACAGACGGTATACTAGTAACAGAGTTTTTCCTAAAATGTTCAGGAATTACAACCAAATCAATAAGAGTCCAGTGGGGAAAACTGCACTAGTTATTTTAGCAGAAAGAATTTACTATATAAAGAATTGGTCAAACAGATACTAAAGAACTAAAAAAGTAGAAAGGAATACTGGGATTAAAACAGAGAGAAACCACTGGAAGCCACTGCTGCCCTTAGGGAGAAGGAACAAGGGAAAGTGAGTGTTACATCCCAGAAGAGGAGCCTCACAAAATCGGGACTCTAACCCCCTGGGAATTAGGTCTGGTCTGCACAGAGCTGGTATTTCCAAGGATGCAGTGAGGTGAATTCTTTGCCAGGACAAAGAGGCAAGGTGACACATTACAACAGCAAATAACTCCAAAGCAAATCCCACCTCTCTTCTTCCAGCTCTGTCTTCCTCCAGTGCCCCCAACCCTGTAAACTAAAGATGCCACCTGGATGTGTGATTTGTGGAGTACTAGTTTCAGTATCACAAATCCAGAGTCCCAGCCTAAGGCACAACCTGACTTGGACTCCTGTTTCTAAGAATTTCTGGCAGGGGAAAGTAGCAAATATTAGGGAATTCTGGCTAGGGGTGTAGCTCAGTGGAAGAGCACTGCCTAGTATGTGTGAGGCCCTGGGTTCAATCTCCAGGATGGTTTTAAAATTTTTTTTAATCTGCTTTTTTTTTAGGGAATTCTAGAAATTGCCCATCCTTTCACTCCCTTCCCACTGAAATGATTTGTTTTCTCAGTTACTGAAGACCTTCTTTATTCCCCTAAAATTAAGGATAATTGATTCAATTTTAATGTCATTTTTCTTTATTTGTGCATTTGAAAACAGGCATTTATGGGAGGGAAGAGTCAGAAAGCATATCAGAGAGGTAAATCATTTAATTCTCTACTTCCGGGCTGTGCCCAACGTTTAGAACTACCTAGAAAGGATCAGCAGTGAGAGCAACTCTCAGATTTTTCTATTCCAATAAGTTTCCCTTAATTTCACTCTTCTTCTCCCCCACTAATTGGAGAATTGGACCTAAAATCAGACCTGTGGTGAACTGCAAGCTACTGTTCACAGGCCTGGGAAACTTCATTCAGACTGATTGCTGGAGGTGAAGTGTCCCTGTCCTCACCTGTAACACAGAAGGATATCTAACGTGTAGGTAGTGAAGGTTGAAGGAAATCCAACAGATATGGCAGGGTGCCTAACAGTACGTTGGGAAATAACTATCCATTTCATTCTCCCAGAACCTTCTTCCGGTGTTAAATCTGACATTTTAAGTGACCGGCAGATAAACCTGAATACCAGAATCGCTTTGCAATGTACTCGCCTCACTCTCTGTAGTGGAGTGAGCTGTCACCTGCATAGTGACCCCGGTTGGCCCGAGCGGTGAAACCCAGGAGGTGGAAAGGCCGACACTCTCACTACTGAAACCTGGAGCGGCTGGGAACCACAAAGCGACGGGAAGGTGCCCTCCCGCTGGCATCCACCTGGGGAGCCCTGGGGAGCAGCGCGCAGAGCCCGGGCGCTTGGGGAGGAAGCACTGCCTCCCGCAGCCCAAGGGGACATCGGAGTTAGCCAGCTGCTGCGGAGATGTGATCCAGCCCCGCCGCCCATGCGCGCACCCGGGACCCCTGCCCCCGGTCCCCCGGGCCTGCCTTTGCTGCTGCTGCTGCTGCTGCTGCTTTGGGTGGCACAGTCCGGATGTGCAGGTAGGTGGTTGCGCCGCCTGGTGCGGGTGGCTGACCTGGTGGAGCCGGGTTTCGCTTTCGGTAAGCTGGCGCCCGGCGCCCTGCCCACTCTGCACACAGAGCCCTGGAGAGATACTCTCCGCCACCGGGGGCGTCCGGGTTCAGGGTCAGGTTTGCGCGACTCCGGGTTAGCGCCTGCTTTTGCTAAGGTTGGCGGTGGTCGCTCGGAGTGGTACCCACAGCCTGCTCCTTGCAGCTACCGTGCGGGACCCCGCCCTTGCCCGCACATCTCAAGCTCCGCCACCACCGCTGCGTCGGTGCAGAGGTCCCTTTTGGATTCTGAGACTCCGGATCAGAATTCTATGACAAGAATAAGGAGAAGATTGCGTTTTTTAAAACAAACTTCTGTTATTGTCTAATTTTTTGAGTTCTTTGTATACTCTGGATATTAGGGCTCTATCTGAAGTGTGAGGAGTAAAGATTTGTTCCCAGGGTGTAGGCCCCCTATTTACCTCTCTTATTGTTTCTTTTGCTGAGAAAAAACTTTTAGTTTGAGTAAGTCCCATTTGTTGATTCTAGTTATTAACTTTTGTGCTATGGGTGTCCTATTGAGGAATTTGGAACCCGACCCCACCGAATGTAGATCGTAGCCAACTTTTTCTTCTATCAGACGGCGTGTCTCTGATTTGATATCAAGCTCCTTGATCCATTTTGAATTCACTTTTGTGCATGGCGAGAGAAAGGGATTCAGTTTCATTTTGTTGCATATGGATTTCCAGTTTTCCCAGCACCATTTGTTGAAGATGCTATCCTTCCTCCATTGCATGCTTTTAGCCCCTTTATCAAATATAAGATAGTTGTAGTTTTCTGGATTGGTTTCTGTGTCCTCTATTCTGTACTATTGGTCCACCCGCCTGTTTTGGTACCAGTACCATGCTGTTTTTGTTACTATTGCTCTGTAGTATAGTTTGAAGTCTGGTATCGCTATACCGCCTGATTCACACTTCCTGCTTAGCATTGTTTTTGCTATTCTGGGTCTTTTATTTTTCCATATGAATTTCATGATTGCTTTCTCTATTTCTACAAGAAATGCCGTTGGGATTTTGATTGGCATTGCATTAAACCTATAGAGAACTTTTGGTAATATCGCCATTTTGATGATGTTGGTTCTGCCTATCCATGAACAGGGTATATTTTTCCATCTTCTAAGATCTTCTTCTATTTCTCTCTTTAGGGTTCTGTAGTTTTCACTGTATAAGTCTTTCACCTCTTTTGTTAGGTTGATTCCCAAGCATTTTATTTTTTTTGAAGATATTGTGAATGGAGTGGTTGTCCTCATTTCCATTTCAGAGGATTTGTCGCTGATATACAGGAATGCCTTTGATTTATGCGTGTTGATTTTATATCCTGCCACTTTGCTGAATTCATTTATTAGCTCTAATAGTTTCTTTGTAGACCCTTTTGGGTCTGCTAGGTATAGAATCATATCATCTGCAAATAGTGATAATTTAAGTTCTTCTTTTCCTATTTTTATGCCTTTAATTTCTTTCGTCTGTCTAATTGCTCTGGCCAGTGTTTCGAGAACTATGTTGAACAGAAGTGGAGAGAGAGGGCATCCCTGTCTTGTTCCAGATTTTAGAGGGAATGCCTTCAGTTTTTCTCCATTCAGAATGATGCTAGCCTGAGGCTTAGCATAGATTGCTTTTACAATATTGAGGTATGTTCCTGTTACCCCTAGTTTTTCTAGAGTTTTGAACATAAAGGGATGCTGTAGGATTCATCCCTGGGATGCAAGGCTGGTTCAATATACGGAAATCAATAAATGTTATTCACCACATCAATAGACTTAAAAATAAGAACCATATGATCATCTCGATAGATGCGGAAAAAGCATTCGACAAAGTACAACCCAATCAACAAATGGGCCAAGGACCTGAACAGACACTTCTCAGAGGAGGACATACAGTCAATCAACAAGTACATGAAAAAATGCTCACCATCTCTAGCTGTCAGAGAAATGCAAATCAAAACCACCCTAAGATACCATCTCACTCCAGTAAGATTGGCAGCCATTAGGAAGTCAAACAACAACAAGTGCTGGCGAGGATGTGGGGAAAAGGGTACACTTGTACATTGCTGGTGGGACTGCAAATTGGTGCAGCCAATTTGGAAAGCAGTATGGAGATTTCTTGGAAAGCTGGGAATGGAGCCACCATTTGACCCAGCTATTCCCCTTCTTGGTCTATTCCCTAAAGACCTAAAAAGAGCATGCTACAGGGACACTGCTACATCGATGTTCATAGCAGCACAATTCACAATAGCAAGACTGTGGAACCAACCGAGATGCCCTTCAATAGATGAATGGATAAAAAAAAATGTGGCATTTATACACAATGGAGTATTACTCTGCATTAAAAAATGACAAAATCATAGAATTTGCAGGGAAATGGATGGCATTAGAGATCATACGCTGTGAATGTTAAACCTCTCGTACCTGCTTTATGATACGTGGTAGTGACCGTGCTTTATCAGAGCTGTTTTTAATGATGTTACTCTAGAATGTTTTCTTTTCAGATGATGATTGAGAAGCTAATAAAAAAAAAAATGGTGCCAGGTATCACAACAGTAACAGAACTTTGCTGTTTTCTCGGGTTTTTGTTTTGTTTTTGTTTTTTTACTTTCCCCCCTTTTTTAAATGGAGTGTGCTGGGTGTGTCTATGATTCTGTTCATATGACTGCAGAACCTGGAAACACTGTTGCTGCTGCTGATGCAGAACATACTGTTATTATTGGTCTTTTTATATAAATATATATATATATATATATATATATATATATATATATATATACATATATAGATAATTTGAATTTTTGGAAACTTTAGCTGTGCTGTCAACTTTGGAAAAGTATCCCAGTTTACCGTGTTGAGTTGGCATTGTACAGAAATTAACAGCCATATTGGTCTAGAAATGTTAAACTTAATTTTTTTCCATTTGTACAGGGGTAACGCACTGTATTAAATATGTAAGGTCTTATCTACGTGGGTTTGATTACAGAAACTAATAAAGTATTCTCTAAATAATGAAAAAAAAAAACTTCTGGAAAAAGTGACAAGATCTAGAAGGAGCAGCTCTTCAGAGCAGCATCCCCCTCTCCTGGGCACATTTTTCCCTATGCAGTTGTGACCATGTACAGATACGTGAACTTTGATTTTTCAGAAATAACAAAACTTGTCAGATTTATGACATCAGGCATTGGAGGGTTTTTTCTCTTGCTATTTTGAAGCTTAAGCTCTTTACAAATTGGAATCCAGTAAACCAGAATAATTCGTAAACTATGATTTTTTTCCTTCTGTATTTCTGTCTTATGGGGAAAAAGCAAGATACCTGGGATTTTTTATCTTTAGTTAAAGACAACAATCACAAAGCTTCTGGGAAGACTGTACTTTATGTAGATTAGGATCAGGCTTCTGTGACTTTTATCCCAGACCTGAAGAGCAACAGCGAATCTAGGGGGGAAAGAGTTGTCTCTGAAGCTGTCCTGCCCTTAATAGCCAAAGGGGATGGGACAAGTTGTGTAAGTTGAAAAGAAAAGTGTGTATACAGGTCTTGGAAGGATCTTTGTGTTTGTTTGTTTTGAAAACAAAGTTTAATTTTAAACAAGCTAATTTGAACAAAAAAAAAAACAAAAACACATTATTTTTCTAACTTCTTTCTTTCAGTTTTGGTAAGAGAAATATACTGAGTCCAGATTTAGATTATAACTGAGATTAGTTTTTAATTTAGAACAACCTTTTGTTATATGGAAACTTTTTCTTTTAATTTCAAGGGAACAACAGAACTATAAGCATTATCAAAGAGTAAATTATCTTTGAAGTTTCATGTTTAAAGAAACATATTTATGGTCCCTAACAATAGTTTAGGTGATAAACTTGTTCTTTTTGCACAATCTTAAACCTGAAATTACTAATTACTGTGAAGAATCAGAATAATGTAATGAATTATTTTTATAATACTATAGCAAGGTGAATGTTTGTGGAATATGTGGAATGTCACTGTATACCATGTAATAAATGAACATTCAGAAACAGATTCAACACAGACCCATTTAAAGCAAATTTCAGGGAATATCTGCAAATATGTATAAGAAAGAACTGGCCAGGTTTATTTTAAATAGTCCTACATAATTCCAAATATTTATTAAAACATGTCAATTCAATAGAAAATATGGAACTGTGATAACGTTTCCAGTTCATTTTTATTGCCCTGGATATCACTCCCTTCTTCCCTCTTGTAAGGATTTTTGAAAACAGATATTGTACACAAAATAGTTTCTCCTCTAAATCCTGAATTTATCAGAAGGTTTAGCGGTCCTTTAATAATCCCAGATAGGCTGAATAGAAAGAGATTACTGTTGACTTTGGCAAACACTGAGCCTTCAACTAACAGATAATATTTTGCTTGTTTTTCTTTAAAATCAAAGAGATTTAGTTACAGTGGACTGGCATTAGAAGGTAGTCATATTGTTAACTTCAAAGCAAAATTTGCAACAAACACACAAACTCTTTTCTGACCCATGAGATCTTAGCATCCTCCTGTCCTCTGGGGACTGCTGAGAAAATCAGGCTAGAAGGTGGATGTAGTTGCCTGCAGGTATGATAAAGATAAAGAGCTGTGGCCAGCATTATATAAACAGATATTCAAAGCGAATAACAGAGTGGAAGACTTCCCAGATCATGCATCTATGCTCAAAACCCTTCAAAGGCCTCCATTTGATTCTAAATTCTCCTGTAAGGTCCTATGTGGCTTAGTCATACCTGTCTCTCCAATCTTACTTTAATTCCTGCTATTCTGGCCCTTTTCTAGTTCCTAGATGAGAAACCGTCAAACTGCCACTAGAATGTTCCTACCCTTGACTGTCCTGTCTAACACCTGCTCAGACTTTTCATCTCAGCCCCAATGTGTTCCCCTCAAGGAGATCTACATCCCCAGAGGAGAAAAATTCCGAGTTAACTATGTCCA